CATACAAGAACTCGTGCCCCTGGCAAAGAGTTGGATCAAGAGTCGTATCCCAGGTACAAACACGCTACTTGTCTCAGGCATTGCTTTCATACGCAAAATCTAGTGAACACACAGAACCTAAATTTAAAATCTTCCCTAGACAATATTCCCTAAATGCAGCTTATTAAAGACCTATAATCAATCAGTTTATCTCACGACAAATTCTTGTGCTTTGTGTTACTAGGCATATACTGTACTTATTTTTTCCTTAAAATACTCATACAAAACTCCAAATTCAGGTTAGTGTGAGGGTAAAAGAAAGATTAAGGTGATTTGCTCTTAAAGAAACGTAATTGGTTCAACACGGATGTATGCATCTTGGCATTTCAGATCCATAAATAATATATTACAGGCACTTGAAAACAAAATATACCTGTGCTTCTAAGTACTACTTTTCGTATTTCCCAGTGTCAAGTCTCCCAGCATAGCCAGCAGATGGTGCTCTAGGCCACCTACTTCCAGAGAGGAGTGCTGTTTGTGTTAAATCCACCTTATTTTGGCAAGACAAAGAATAAGGATGGTCAGTAGCTTCGGTAAAACAAATTCAACTTTATGATAAAAAGGACATAATTCCTAAATATGTGCACAAAATATACATATGCATAAGCACATGTGCACAGAGGCGACCAGTAAATAATTCACACCTGGCTATATTATGCTCCTACTTTTCTCACTGACTTGATGAGTAGTCTACGTGTTTATCAGTGGTATTTATAGTCATATGGCAGGATCGTTCTAAATTCATTAAAAAAAAATTTAGAATGCCTTAAAGTTAGAATTCATTTTTAATTATAGCAGGAATGTCTCATTAGGGTGATACTAGTAAAATTAACAACAGTAGGATTTACGGTAATGACTTAAGTGATTGATGAGCGTATAACAAAATGAAGTTTTAGACAGAGAAAAAACAGGGCAGCTATGGCATACAGTACTTTAAAAAACAGCTCTGTGGTCTGTTAGTGCTAGCCTTATGGTTAATAAAACCTTCTTTCTAATTAACGGTGCTGAAATACTCTTAAAGAACAGAATCTTGTTATAAAAAAAAGAACTTAGTTGGTTTTTTTTTTTTCAGGAGACGCCATTCCCATAAAGGAGAAAGCTGACATAGATTAGCATGTCTGATTGCAAAGAGGAAAAATATGCCACCTTTCAATCAAATCAAAACCAGAATGCAAGAATGGAAAACTACTTTACTGAAATACTACACACACAAATCTATGCAACACCTCACTGTCAGCAACCATTTGCTTGTAAAGCTAATCAACTCTGGCTTTAAAAACATTACTCCAATACCTAAAAATTTCTAATAAGCAATTAATTTTTAAAATTCAAGTTTACTGTTTATAAATATGCTATAAAATAGCCAATACATAATAACTGTTTTGGACATTTTCATCTTGCTTATCTAACTAAATAAAATTATGTCACAGTCTGAAGTATTGAAATATCAATTCAATGCATTTTCTCCAGAATCTGGAAATGGGCGGTCTGGACAGCTTTACTCCGAAGGAAAAATAAGCACCTTGGAAAAACACTGTTATACAGCATTCGGCCCTAAAACTCAAGGCCTATAGGGGAAAGAGAGGTGTCGTGTCTCCATGTAGAAAACATCACTGAAATTTTGTCAGTGTTATCTTAAAAATCGACAACTAAATGAAATTATATTTTTACATTTTCTTCTTATTGAGAAAACTGCAGCCATAGCAGATCACACTCCCAAGACAACAGAGCGAAAAATGGAAAACTAGCTGGGGTGCAGGAAGGTGAGCCTTTTGCTATGTACTTTAGGCAGCTTTCATAAAACACGTCTTTTTAAAAAGGACCAAATAATAATATTTATAAGTTTTACAAAGCTTCAATTAGCCAGATTTTGCTCAAGTAATATATGTGCATTAATATAGGACAGCACATTTAAAAAACAGTGATATAGCTATCAACTTTATATATAGCACCAATGTCAGATACGGAGAGAATGGGACCTGCAGCCCATGACTCCAGCAAACACAATTACTAGCAATTCTTAGTGCCAATAACAGAAAACAACTACATAGCTGAACTAGGTCTGTGCACAGAAAGCAACAGCCCAGGTCTTTATACCCTTTATTTTCCTTTCAAGAAAGAAAACATCTAGATTCAAAAACTTAAGTGGAGGCACCGTGTGCATTTGCAGGCACACTGCAGGTGTGAGAGCCCACGCACGCCCCGAGGGCGCTCCTGGGTCACCTAAAGAGGTGGCGCGGGAACCAGCCAGCCTGAAAGGGCCGGAGAAGCTCGGACTCCAGTGCCTGCGCTCTGCAGGACTGGGCGCGGAGGAGGCTGACCTCACCTAGGGGGTGTGGATACTGAAAACAGTTTGCACACAGGAAAAACGTCTTTGTTTTTGTTCATTATTCTTATTCAAAAAGCTTAAACTTTTTTTTTTCATTTTTCTAGTCTAATGTGTGTAAATTCTTGTAATATGAAAAAGTGCCTATTTGTCTTTTCTCCGAGATTCAACCCTCAAAGCTAAAGCAAAATTAAATTGAGACATCAGATATTATAAAAGGGTCAGAAAGACAAGGTTTACTCTGAGAAAGGTAATTTAATTCAGTCAGGAAACATAACAATTTTCAAAAATTTGTATTAGATGTGCTGTGTGTTATTCTTTTATTTTTCCTCTTCGTTATCGGCATTACTAGGAGTTACCGTCCACCACACTACAGATAATAACAGAGTACAGATGAAGTGCTTCATGAAAAATGCAACATTATCATATGTGCTCTAATGCCAACAAGCTGGTGTTCGTGTGATTTATCGGAGCTGAGCATCCTGGGTTTCTCCAACACCTTCATCCAGTTACTGTTGCTGCTTTCATTTTACAGCAACAAAGACGAACCCCAGCAAGGCTGAGAACTTAAGATTTTTCTGTACTACAATGTCTTACATTTGGTCACTCCTGCTTGATATTTTTCTAAGGACATGCATGTAAAAACTATCTCTAGGGCAACTTACAGGTACTTAAATATATAAAGTATAATGAAATAGACACATAGATTGATTGATATATATATATGTGTATAGATGTAAAATATTTTTCCTTTGAAACAGCTGAAAATTTCCAGTTTTAAAACATGTAGATTTATGTTTTAAATCTGAAATGCAACAGAAATTACATATAAGTGCACCTCAGCTACTTTTCTGAATGGAGACTGGTAATGACTGTATAAAATTTAGAACGTTAAGTCCAGTGAGGTAAAAAAAACCAAATACCACTACGTGTGTGTGGGTGGGTGGGGGGGGGTGTTGACTGCTATACAGGTCTGAAACAGCTTACATTATTTTAAGGCAAGAAAAAGTTCTTCAATATTTGGAGAGAAATAACAAAATGGCAGATTTATCATCTGTGTTAAATCAGAGTTTACTTGAGATAATTTAGCGAAACTCGTAACTTGATTTATAGAAACAGGAAAAGAAGAAATTGAAAGTAGTGACCCAACCTGAGAGGCCATAAAGGAAGAAGAACCAGAATGTGATGATAATAATAAAAAGAACACCAGGTACTTTCCAAAGAATGTAAAAAGAAAATCCCTAACATTATATTTTATAGTAATTATATATGTGGAGACATATGTATAAATATGTGAAATGCACATAAACATATTTTCCCTACCACATGTACACACACACACACACACACACGCACAACCATTTGATCTGATCACACAGATTGTAGATCCATAGCATCTAGCCTTCAAATGATTATTCATATTCTGTCCAGGTAGGACATTATGCCGGTTTTGATTAAAATAAGGAACATATACACACACTATAACACACACACACACACACACACACACACACACACACACACAGTTAACTGAATAAAACCTGCATTTAGCTACCATTTCAAAATGCTATAAATAAGAAATATCTTTGAAAAACAGTTTGCATATTTAAAAAATATTCTACCACCATTTGACTACCTTTTTTGAACAAAGGTGTCTCTTTCATACAGATGTTATCCACTTATCACAGGCTTGAGAAGTCCATCTAAAACACGATGGGCTCTCACGTATTCCTATCGTGTCACGGTTTGGGGCTGAGTGACAGAAGTAGGGCCACAGTACTCAGGCAAAGTCCTCAGGAACAATGTGATCCTTCCTGAACTTTGTGCCTTGCTTTAAATTAAAAAACCGTAAATATTTAAGAGCAGCTCAAATGCTTTCGCTTACGAAGTGCAAATCTAAAGCTACTTTTGTGGGAGTCTTCCCCGCTGTCATCATCATTTTAATTAAATTCTCATTTTTCAGGTGGTCCCTTTAATTGTTTTTTCCTACTTCTTAATGTGCTTTTCTAAAGCCATCGCTTTTCTGCAGCTGTGTGCTATTGGCTTTAATGGTAGCTGCTTCCTTCTCTTGCCTTCTGTGAATTGCAATTTTAAATGGTTACACATTTTTTGTTTTACTGCCTTTAGCACAGTTCCATAAAGACGTTTAAGGCTGTTGGCGAACATTTTCATTTCCCATCTGAAAAACCAAGAACCAATTTGAATATTCCATATTGGCCTTTTATGGTCTGCTTTATCTTTTAATATGTAAATGAAGCATAATTTTATAAAGACTGGTACTTTTCCATGAAATTATAATTTTTTAATTCTTTTAAAATATGAATTCAGTAAACAAGATACTATGTGATTATTATCTTATTGTTCATGAATAAAATACCTCTGTTTGGCAACAGTCATTTCCAATGAAGCATCAGCATTTTGGGATCATAAGAATAATTTATCACATAAAATATTTCATGTGTGTACCTTAATTACCAATGACTACACAAATATTTAATAGCAAGGCTTTCTAAATCCTTCTCAAATTACAAATAAGAAATTACAAATACTTGATATTCAGCTTCGCTCACCATAATGGAAAGGTAACTTACAATGCAACACGCTACTCTACAATCACTTGCAGAAGTTTACTTACTGCCGGGGTTATCTCCAATCCCGCTGCTTTTTCCATTCCAGTACCACAGCAGCAGGGTTGCATCACGTGACCCTGAGAGAATGTAGCAATTTCCCCCAATGTAGGACTCAGAACGAGTGAGGCAAGTGACGACATCCCAGTGACCAAACACCACTTGGATCAATTTTCCTGAAACATAAAACAGTTTTCTTTAAAACTGCTATTAAAAACAACACAATTCTAGTGAAAAGGCAACTTGGAAGACCATGATGCTATATTAACTCAGACCCTGATAATTCAGCTATCACATTTGATCTAATCCAACACTAAATCTTTTCTATAAATATTAACATTTTCTGAAAGGCACATGTTAAAACTATTTCAATTCATAATATTTGAGGACTTCTAAGTGGCTACTATAATTTATAAAAGAATCCTGTTTGCTAGGTAAACAAGCACAAGAGAACCCTGTCTCACGTTATTTTGTGTGATTCAAAATTTAAACAAAAAAACCATAGCTGCCTTTCTATAAAAGCACCCTGCAACTTATATTTCTCTAATAACAGCCTATTTGTAATTAGTGAAGATTTCATGTATTTCTCCTTTTTAAAAATCAATTTGGAGAGAACTTCTGCATGTCCAAGCCAGGATGATATGGACCAATTTTTGATGAAAAGACTAATTTACTGTGATTTCAATTTGAGCCAAGGCATTCTTTCATGCTTTTAATCATCTGAATCATGAAAATTGCTTTGGGATGATGACAAAATCAAGATTACAGGGCTTTAATGGTAGCGACCAGCGACACAGAGAGACCAGTCATCCTCCTGCACTTCCTGGGCCTCAAGCATGGAAGAGCCGTCTCCGCACAGGGATCAGAAAAGGCCACTGACTGTGGCTCTCACACACATGAATTTACCTTAACAATTCAGTGTCTGCAGCCACCCCCCATGCTAGTTCTTCTAGCTAACATTTCCTGCCAGCTACACAACCTACTGATGAATGTCGTGGGATGTTTACCCTTAATATTCAACATGACTTTTTTTAAATAAGGGTTTCACTGGAACCTTAAGACTGTAATTCCTGTGTTCAAGAAAAACACTACTAAGTTGAAAAAGCACTAGTAATATACTTAGAAAGCTTGTGAGTATCGCCTGGAATGCAAATGAACTATTTAAGAGCTTAAGGTCTTATTTAAGTATTGGCATCTAAGTTAATAAATATAACTAGGCAGGTATTTACATTAAATTAAAAAATTGTTGATTCTAATAAAACCAGTGGCTTATGATAACGGCTGCAAATTTAGAAATACAATGCTGATGCATCCCTTATCTGCCCCAGGTAAAAAGTCAAAATACATGGTTTTGCTCTTGAGAGGTAGTCTTGCACATAGCTCACTGCTAGTAACTTTAAAATCAGATTTGTTCACATCTCAAAAGGCAAATTATTAAAATCTCCTTTTCTGAAACAGACTTCAGTGAAGGCAGGTGCTTTAAATGCTAAATGTTCAAAGTGATCATTCCAGAATGTCTTCCACCCTTTAAATGGATGCCCATACAGTTCACCTACAAAGTCAGGTTACATCAATAGGTGGTATTTTAAGAAAATTCAAGGTTTTCTAGAATAAGTTTAAAGAGTAAATTAAATATGAAAACTACAATAATTTCCACCATTTCCAGGTGAAGAGTGGTAGAAGAAAAAGGCTGTAGTTAGGTTGTAAGTAAGTTCTGTGAGAACCTACAGAAATTAGCTGAATTCTACAACAATAATTAGAAAACTAGGGGCTGGGGAGATCGCTCAGTAGAATAAGCGCTTCCCTGGCAAGCACAAGGACTTGAGTTCAATCCCTGGTTCTGCAAATAAAAAATAAAAAATAAAAAAATTAAAAAAAAATGATGATAATAATTAGAAAACTGAAAGTTCCATCCATGTGTCCTGCCTGCTGTAAGAAACAGGAAATGCCACGCTGCAGCTATGCTTCAGTCAGAGAGCGCGCACGGCGGCTTCGGCCTTAGCCTCACCTACGTGCCCAGAGGGTGCAAACTGTTGCTGCGATATGAACAAGCTTTTCGGTAACAAGCTCGCTTCCGGCTTGAACCCCAGTAGCTGAGGGCTGCAGGAAAGGAGGAACGGACTCAATCTGAGCTAAGTTGTTCGAGGGAAACCCCGGCGCTCCCGGTACAATGGGGATGCGAAGAACACCCACTCACGGCCACTTACTTCACTCTCAGCTCCTGCACTGGCAAAGTGGAATGTTTTCGCTGGAAAAGGAGGACATGTAAATATAGAGGTGGAATTCCCCAAGATTCTCACATTAATTCTCTTTAGTTGAGTCACTGCCCAGTTGCTCCAGGCTCAGCATGAGGAAAATGTATACTCAGTCATGATTGTGTTTCACTTACATTTTGTTTTAATTTTTGAGTAAAAGTATCAGAATTATTTTCTCATCCAACAAATGTTTACTGAACACCTACTGAACACCAAGTGTCATATTCTTTTACACAGACACAGTGGTAAAGAGACATGGCCCCTGCCTTTAAAGGATTTACTATCTGTCTGGCAAGGAAGCAAGACAGGACAAATAACACAAACAGATTTACTAGTTGTGATAAGTATATACAAGAAAAGGCCAAGGAAGGGCTTGTGAAATAACAAGGTGGAACAACTTTAGACTGGGTGTTGGATTATTTAAATGAGGGAGCAACATTTGAATAGTTACAGGAAACAGGGAAGGAACCTCATACTGTCACATAACTGTACTTGGGCTCGACCCTGGAAAACATTTTTTAAACTTTACTTTTTCCTGTTCTGTAGCCCTTCTCAGCCATCTTGCTATTGCTGTGAAGTTGAGGTTCACTCCCCCTAAATAAATCACGGCATGTAAATACCTGCTGCTCTTTTTGGTAAATTATTTTCTGATAATCTCATAAGTGTTCCTCAACCTTTATTTTTTGTTTCCTTTAATACTAGTCTACCTCTCCACACACTAATATCAAATATTACCACAAGCACTAGAATATCCCCTTTTTGACAGAACAAATTTTCTAGTTAATGTTTTATTTGACAGCTGTGCTACAAATAAAAAAACTCCAGCTCAGGACTCTGCACAACTGAATCTGAAATGTGCCCTGAAAATAATTCCAACTGCCGAGGGAAGGTTTACTGTTGCCTCTGCTGTTCTGGTTGTGCCCTGAAAACATGACTTATGTTTGAAGAATTTCCTGTTACAACACACGTTTCTCCTGACCACCCCCCAAATCTAATAAGAGAAGGATTTTTTTTTTTTTGGCTTGTGTGCTAAAATATAATTGAATTCAACACGCGATAGCTTTGCTATTACAGGTTACTAATCATACAATTTTCCCTTTATTCTAATCTTAGGAAAATATATTGAAAATTCTTGTTTTTGTAAAATTACAAAAAATATTTATCTTAGTAAGTTATTTTAAATAAACTCAGGATCCAAATTTGTATACAGGACATTAAGAAAGACACTAGGACTATCATGGTTTTTTCATTTACAAGTTTTCTGGAAAATATAAATGTTTTTATTCTACAAATTAAGTTGGTTTCATGGAAATGAATTTTAAAATAAAGGTTTTTCTTATGAAGATGTTGTATATACACAAAGTCACATGTTTAAAAACAGTATGTGGCACTGTTGGTATAACTCACTGGTCTAAGCACCTGCCTAGGTAAGCGCAAGGACCCGGGCTCGATACCTGTCCTGTGTGTCGTGCTGGCCTGGCCCCAGGTGCGCTGCGCTGGCCACCGAGACCAGGCGTGGTGCTGCACGCCTATAGTCCCTGAGCTGGGCAGGCTGAAAACAGGAGGATCATGCACTGCATAGTGAGATCCTGTACCAAACACACAAAATTGAAAAACCAACCAGCCACTATTAGAGATGGTGCCTCGCTCAAAGCCTAACATACCATGGCAGAGCTCGCTTTGGCAGCACATGCATGAATGTAACAAGGCACACCTACTAGGAACTCAGCGTTACGAACTGTAGTGTTTTCTATAGTAACAAATGGTTGGATGGTGACACGTGTATGAGACATGGTACTGTATCGTGGCAAAGAAGCTGCATTTGAAGTCAGGACAGCAAGGAGAAAGGCCCAGGTCTGTTAACATTAGCTGTGCAATTTCAGCATCTCCTTAACCTCTCTAAACCTCAGTGTCATCAGCTGGAAAGAGGAGATAAGGACTCCTGGTCTCTCACAGGATGACAGGCTGAAGCAATTATAATGTGGACAGAAAGAACTCCGTAAATTCTAAAAATTTCTGAATGTAGGTATTACTGTGGTCATTAGTATTATACAAATGTAAGGCTAGCTTTATTTTATAAACATTAATACTGAACACCCTTTAAAAATAGACAACGTCCAGCCGGCCAGATAGCTCAGTGGATTAAAGTACCTGCTTAGGCAGATGCAGGGACTGGGGTTCGATCCCTTGTGTGCCATGTCCCCCAACCCCCGGTGGCACGCTGAGACACAATTGAGACTGGGTATAGTGGTGGGCACCTGTAATCTCAGCACTTGGGAGGCTGAAAACAGAATTACTGGGAGTATGATCTGTGTAGTAAGACCTTGTAGGTCCTGTACTAACTATATAAAAATAAAAATAGACAACGCAATGAATTTTTAAATACTCAAAGGTCAAAATCAAAGACTGACATAATTATCATTCCCCTTGTGTGACTTCTGGAAAAGGCAAAGTTAGGTGTGATGTGGAGCACACAGTGGTTTCCGGGAGGCTGGAGGCACGGGAGGAGCTGGTGTCCAGCAGGCCGCTGGGGGGCGGGGGCAGGGGCTGCGCTTGACCGTGAGGTGGTGACTGAACTCTGCCCTATCGAAACTGTAACTCTAAACCGAGCAGAATGAATCTTACTGTGAAAATTTAAAAATAAAAATGTACTTTTAATATGTACTCTAAAAGAATATTTAAGAAAATCTTGTGAGAGGATGTAACAGATTTAATCAGAAAGACTGTGCAAAATGAGAACACACTATGAGATCAAATCATGCTAATCTTGTCAATATGAAGTCAGAAAAAGGTCACTGTAGTAATACATGTATTTTAGGAAAATTTATTTATCTCCAGTGCATCTTTAGAGACTGTTAAGGGTATTTTAGGTTCAACCTGAATCTCTCTTATAGACGTAAACAGCCAGTAAAAGCCAAGTTGGATAATGACTGTTTTTCCACAACCTACAGACTAAAAATGCAAGTGATAAGAACAGATAACCCATTCAAGAATGCCTGAAACAAACACAGAATATGGCCTAAAAAAACTTCTAGGATTTATTCTATTTTTTTTCCTATTCTTGACTATGTGACAATATGAACAAAAATACACGTATGACAAAATTCTTAAAAAATAAACAATTATTTGACATACTATTCTAAGACAGGAGAATGGACTCATGCACTTTATAAAGAGTATCCCAAAGACTGAATGATTATTAATATGAAGCATTTAGTGAACTAGAAATCTTAGACAGAATTTCCTATCCCCACAATAGTTTTGCTCAGCAGATAGATCTGCTCTTGGAGGCAAGGGTGTAGCCTCGGGTAGAACACATCCTTAGTAGCATATAGGAAGCCCGGGGCTCAATCCCCAGCACCAAAACCAGTGTAACACCTATATCCAGAGAATACGCTGATTAGTATTAATGAATTACTATCTCATTTTAATTATTTTTGAATTTTAACTGCATATGTACTACTAGTTTAGTTTACCCTTTAACAGTTTCTATAATATTTTTTAAAAGGCTCCATTAAGTTTCTCAGTGTTTTTCAATTTCCTTTGTGGCAAATGTGGAAACATTTCCTAGATTGCAGCTCCCATAATAATAGTTTCTCTCTTAGGGAGATGCATGCAAATACATACACAGGCCTAACTTTTATATTTTACCAAGAGCTCCTGTTATGCGTAAAAAGTCAATAGTAAGCTACTTTTCTTCGTGATGGTGTAGCAAAACTGTGCGGAGATCTGGGTGGAAGCAAGAGGTCTATTGCAAAGAGATACTTAATGAGTTTTTCCAGTAAGAAAGAAAACTCTTTAAATGATACAAAAGTAGAGAATACATCTGTCTGCTTGTATACTCACATTAAGATTATGTATATACAAATGTATGCGGTATTTACATATCCTCTCTGAGGATGTGCCTGGAGACAAACCTACTATGAAAAGCGACCTCTTAAAAACAATGAAGCTAACAGTGCACTATTTAGTATATTATTTCTTGAAAAGAGAATATAGTGTCCTTTAAGCCTTATTTCACACACTTAGGGTGTAGCGTGGCAAGGAAGAGGAGATAGTACATTGTGTCTCACAAAGCTACCAATCATAAACAAGTTCACTGATGTGAGCGGTAAGAATTACCTGTGTCTGTAGAGTAGACGCGGAAACTCTTATCCCAGAAGCCACAGACGAGAATGTAGCGGTTGTCGGAGGTGATAACAAAGCACTGGGAATGGACACGAATACTTTGGTCTAAAAGGTCAGTGATTTGCCTCCTGTGCATTCCTGTATTGCTGGCTGTGAGAAGAAGAATACATTTGTATTGAGTACATCAGAACCCATATAGCATGTCACACTAGGAGTTGGCGTGAAGGATGAGAGGAGACATGGCCCGAAGTAAGAATACTTGAACTTAAACTTTAAGTATAATAACATTTGAAAGTCAAATAGGAAAACATACTCAATTTCTGGGAGAACGTGGGTGGTTAAATTCAACATCTCAGGAAAAAGTTTTGCTTAGAGGAAAGAAATAATAACATACTGAAATTTAAAAATAGTATACAATGACAAAACATGCTTTCTAGCTCTTGGGCAGGACCAAACTAGATTACAGCCTCCAGACTGAATCACAGTGTGGTTGTGTTTCTGACAATCTCATTACATCTATTGTCATGAGAGTGGATTCATGTTGTGACAACCTATTACCTTTCACATTTTGTCACAAGGAAGAGATATTAGGATTTAAATGTCATATATTTGAAATATTGTAGCCTTATGTACTACTTTGGCTTTAACAGGTCTTTAATTTGACTGTTTCCTGTTTACAGATGTACTTGCATGTAGGGAAAGGCTGGATGATTGTTTATTAGAAACTCCTATAATTAAAAAAAAAAAATCAAAGCACAGCACACTGACACTTCCTTACTTCTTAGTTAAGCAACAAAACAAGCCAGCCCGGCAGTGTGCTTTGAGCACTGCAGAGCACCTGGGAGAGGTCTGTCACCGCAGGAGCACAGAGGCAGGGCCACACAAAGCCCCCAGGGAAAGTGCTGGTTCCCTAGAACTGCTGTGGCCCTCAAGGGCCACTATCGGCAAAGACTATGGTCCTCGGAGACCATGCCTTCCTGGCGGTATGAGGCCAATCAAACAGAACACTTTGTTTCTAGTGGCCTTATTCATCTTCATCTTTCCAATGGCTCTCACTCTGCCTAGGAAACCCTGTGTACTAGAAACCGAAACAGACAGAACAAATATCTACATCAAATTATGGAGAATTTTTTTGCCATGGTTCTTTTGTTTTGAGATGAAAACTATATTGCTGAGAAAAATTTTAAAAAGATATCCATTATATGTAATAACTAAGTTATGACTCATTTAATCAAAGTCTCAGAAATGAAAATGAAAACAAAGCCAGGGTGTCACAGTGCTTCCTAGAGCCATGCAGGGGGGACACAAGGGACTGAACTTCCCCTTCTTGTGGCACACGCAAACAACAAACACACCCAAAATTGTGCAGAATGCTGCTAGTGTCTGTTGACACATTTAACTTAAGACTACTGCAGTAGATAACTGATAATGCAGGCTTCACATGCTTTTGGAGAATTCATGGGCTAGAAAGGCACTGCAGTAGTAAAAGGGATAGAATTCAAGCTGAGCAAGTTTTTTTCTCCTTCCACACAAAAGGAACTTGTCAGGAGATAAGCTGTACCACAGCATATGAGAGGGAAACAATGTCTCACTGCAATGAAGCTGTGTGATAATGTAATTTTCTAACTCCAAGAAACCTAAGGATTAAAAACAATGTATGCAGTACTTTCTGTATTGGTTGCTATAGGGATTTAATTTCACATGAGATCTTTAAAACATTTATTTTTGTTAGCATTTGTTTCAAATTTGCTCCTGTGATATAAACTTGTACTAGTTGCTTTTGGGATCCAACCTCTTGGGAGGACCTCTTCACAAATTTGGGCAGGTAACACCGTTGTGAATTGGAGGTACAGAGCGCCCACGGGCAGAGCCTGATGCCCTTCAACATTCAGATGGATTACTTCCAAATCAAGTCTTGTTGCAATTTCTCAATGCAAAGCTTATCTATCCATCCATCCATCCATCCATCCATCCATCCATCCATCCATCCATCCATCCACCCACGCATCCATTAGTCCATTTATTGACTGCTCAACAGCCTTTACATATCTCATTGTTTTCATAATAAACTTCTTGAGATCAAATACTACAAGCATTTTTATTCAATGACAATTTGGTCTATCTATCAAACTGAGGAAGGTATAGTCTTTGGTGTTTAAGACCTCCCCAAGGCTACTCAGGCACAGGGTTTTAAGGGAATTCATTCCTAGTCCCTCAACTTTCAAACTTAGCTGGCTGAGAATGTGCCTGTGAGTCTTTCTTGTTATGTGCCTTTCTAACACTAGATAGAATAATGACACATTTCCCTCCTACCCAGTACCTGCTTCATCACAGGGTATAAAAGAATCTTTTGGGAGCCAAACACAGAGAGAATTCAAATTACTGATGTGATACAGAAAAGAGAATGCTAACACACGACATCATCCTAGAGGTGAGATGAGTTTCAATAAATCGGAATGAAGGTCTAATCACACTGTCAATCAAAAATAAGTTTCAATGACAGGTTGCTATGAGAGATAACAATAGTAAACCACAAGAACTTCAACAACTGATTGCTATCTAACTTTGTCACATAACTCAGAGAGTTCAAAGATTTGTATGATGTTAAACTTTCATTTCCCATGCATTTTCTCATGTGAATGGCATTCCTCAGTTTTCATCTATCTGTTTATTGAGTCTTGCTGTATGCCCAGACTGATCTTGAACTCCTATACTCAAGCGACCCTGCTGCTTTGGGCTCCCAAGTACTGGAACTAAAAGCACAGGCTACCCTGCTCAGCTAAAGTTTCTACCTATAAAAACACAAACCAGGATTTGACAAGTCTGTCATACCTTGCAATCACTAATGTTCATGCAAGGATACATGCACTAACTGGAGGAAAAGGCCCTACACATCTTATTAAAGATTTATTTCCAATGAATGCTTTAACATTTAGTATATGTTTATTAAAATGAATTACAATGTACTGTAGTTATAGGTAAATATTAATAGCTGTAATGATCATTTAATGCAAATATTTGAGAAAACTGAGCCTATAGTGAGAAGAAATTTGAAAATTTAAATTCACATATAGATATTTTTAATTTTCTATACATCTTTTTATTGCTAAAAGGTACAATGAGGTAATCCATTTTAAAAAGTTAAAGATAAGGCTGAAGAGAGAGCTCAGCAGTTTAAGTGCCTGTGCAGCAAGCACAATGCTGTTAGTTCAATCCCAGGTACCAAAAAAGAAAAATAAAAAGCTCAGCTTAAAAAAAAAAAAGTTAAAGATAAAATCCAGTAGGGGAAGAGGTGAAGATGGAACTTAGTGATACAAACCTGCCTGGTATGAATGAGCCTTGGGCTCTATGCCCACTGGCGGTCCTAAAAAAGTAGGGGAAGTAGAATAAAAATATAAAATCAAGATGGAAAAGAAATAAAGTGAAATTTCCGGCTCTTTAGGGTCTTTACAAGCATTGTTTTAAAAAATAGAAACTATTAAGTATGATGTTAGCATAATCTGATATTTAGATTCCACTGGATATATTAACTTTTTTTTTTTACCCATGCCAGAAATTGTAACTTTTGCAACTATGTACATTTGTGATGAAAACCTTTCTATGTTAACTTTAAAATTTAAAAGAAGGGACCAGGGAGATAGTTCAATGGCATACATGCCTGCCTGGCAAGTGCAAGGTCCTGAGTTTGATTCCTGGTACCAAAAGAAAAGAAAAGAAAAATATGAGAAGATACATGGTTTCAAACCATTAGGAGAGGGAGCAGAGGACCACACTGGTGACTGGTGACCCGTGACCTAGAATCTGAATGACAAGGAAGAGCCCAAAGGCTGAATCTGACCCAGGATTGGTTTGTATATAGTTTTTTTTTTTTTTTTTTTGACACAGGGCTTCACTATGTAGCACAGGCTGACCTTGAACTCACTATGTAGCCCAGGCTAACCTCAAACTGGCAATGACCCTCCTGCCTCAATCTTCCAAGTGCCGGGATTATAGGCTTGCACCATCATGCCCAGCTGTATATAATTTTATGGAAAATAATCATGTTCATTTGTTCACACATTGTCTAAGTGACTTGTGTAAGAATGGCAAGATTAAGTAGTTGTGTCTGAGATACTATGGCCCACAAAGCCTAAAATACTGTCTACTTCTTTACTTAAATGTTTGCCTGAACTTGTTTTAAAGAGTTATAGGGGGTCTGCCCATTGGCTCAGTTGTTAAGTGCCTGCTTAAGCAAAGCAGTCAGGATCAGGATTCTGTGGTTCCATCCCCAGGTCTTCATGCCTTACCAAACCTGCCCTTAAGGCATCCTGAGCCAGCCCCTCCCCCCCACAAAATCCTTCTGAACTTTTAAGGGCCAGGGAGATAGCTCAGTGGAATAAGTGCTTGCCTTGCAAGCACAAGGTCCTGAGTTCAATCCCTGGTGCCACAAAATAAATGAATAGTTATAAGTGTTGCACTAATTTTTGTGTTAGTGTATGCTTGTAGTACATGTTCACACTCCTGCAGAGTGGGTACATGTATGTGACACTTCTTCATTCCTTTCTTTCTTTTTTTTTTCCAGAACTGGGGATTGTACTCTGGCCCGTGCGCTTGCCAGGGAAGCACTTACTCCACTAAGCCATTTCCCTGGCCCCTCCTTTCTTTTTTTAAAGAAACTTTTTAAATTTTATTTTTATTTTTTATTTATTTTTGCAGAACCATGGATTGAACTCAGGCCCTTGTGCTTGCCAAGCAAAGGCTTATTCTACTGAGCCATCTCCCCAGCCCTTCATTCCTTTTTTCATCCCCTTTCTTCTCTCTTACCTTCCTTCCATCACTTGGTCCCTTTCCCCCTTTTTCTTTTGTGGTGGTAGGGGAGTAACAGGAATATAACTCAGAACCTTATACTTGCCAGGCAGGCTCTGTGCTATTGAGCTATAGCTCCTTCCCTTTTGCAAAAGATCTATCTCCCTGTTCCCTATTAATGATTTTTTAAAATTTTGTCCTTGAACTAATTGCTTATATCTTGGATTTCTCTTTTGGATTTCAAATACCATGTGGTACTTGGGCTTGTGTATCTGATTTATTTCACGTAACATTATGGTCAAGGTGCATCCATTTTCCTACAGATGACTCCAGCTGGTCTTTCTTTATGGCAGAGCAGTGCTATGGTGTGCAGAAACCACATTTTCTCTATCTGTTCATCTGGTGAGGGACACACAGGCTGCATCCAAGACTTGGCTACTGTGAACTGCTTCTGCCTGGTGGAAGAAGCAATGTATTCTGAGAATGAGACACATTTTTTTGCCAGCTATTCCTCAGACAGAGGACTAATATTTAAACTATATAAAGAATTGAAGAAACATTAGCAACTCCCCACAATGAAAGACTGAATTAAAAATCTGTCAAGCACAATGAAGACACTTCACAGAAGAAGCACAAATGACCAAAATGTACATGAAGAAATTTTCCACATCACTGGTCATTAGAGCAATGCAAATTAAAACAACACTGAGATTCCATCTTGTCCCAGAAAGAATGGGCATCATCAAGAAATCAAACAATAGGGCCGGGGAGATGGCTCAGTAGAATAAGCACTTGCCTGGCAAGCCCAAGTGTCTGAGTTCAATCCCCTGTTCCGCCAAAAAAAAAAAAATAAATAAATAAAAAATAAAAGAAATCAAACAATAACAAACGCTGGTGGGGCTGTGGGGGAAAAGGAGCCCTTCTATATTGCTGCTGTTAGTGGGTCTGTTAACGAGTACAACCACTATGAAATATACTTTCAAGTGTTAAGCAAATGATGAGTTATAGTTCAGAAATAATGCTTGACATGACTTAGCATTTGAACTTTATTATTTTTCTGATGTTTAAAATTGTATAGTGAACATTTAATTGTTTTTTTAAAGGTTTTAATTTTATTTATTTTTATTTATTTATTTGTGTTTGTGTGTGGCCAGCTCAGCCCACCAGGGGGCGGAGCTGGCTGGCATGTGGTGCTGGGGGATTGAACCACAGGCCCTGTGCTTTGCTAAGCTTGTTCTAAGTAGGCGCTTTAGACCACTGAGCCATCTCACCAGCCCCAACATTTAATTGTTTAAAAAAGTATGTGACTATCGGTTCTCAACCTTTTGGCTAAATCAAGTGTGAAAAGCATATGGCTGTTGAACATTTTTTCTTACGTTTATTTCCCATTTGTATTTTTTCCTCCGAGAAGTACGTATTCATCTCAGAAGCCCATTTTTGGATTGGGTGTTTGAATTTTGGGGACCTGATTTTTAAAAATTCTTTTTTTTTGTGTGGAACCAGGGATTGAACTTAGGCCCTTGCGCTTGCCAGGGAAGCGCTTATTCCACTGAACCATCTCCCCAGCCCCTTTAAAAATTCTTTGTGTATCTTAGAAAGAAATCCTTTGTCTGGGTGACTGGTGGTTAAGATTTTTTCCCAGTTTATAGGTTTTCTAGTCACTCTGTTGGTGATTCCTTTTGGTGTTCAAAAACTTTTCAGTAAGATGAGATCCCAGTTGTTGATTCTTTGAAGTATGTCCCGTGCCATGTTCCTTTTTTGTTTATTTGAGAAATGCAAATTAAAACAACACTGAGATTCCATCTCCTCCCACCCCAGAAAAAGTGGCTATGATAAAGAAATCAACTAATAACAAAAGCTGGAGAAGCTGTGGGGGAAAACGGAAGCTTTCTCCACTGCTGGTGAGAGTGCAGACTGGCACGACCTCTGCGGAAATCAGTGTGATAATTCCTCAAAAAACTAGAATTAGAAGTCCCATTAGATCCAGCTAGTCCATTTATGGGTATTTTTCCAGAAGAAGTGAAAACATCATACCACATCACACATTTACAGCAGTATAATTTGTTATAGTTAAATCTTGGAAACAACCCAAATGCCCATCAACTGAGGAATGGATAAAAAAGATGAGGTATTTTTATACTATGGAGTATTACTCAGCTATACAGTAAGATAAACTTGAGGCTCTTATAGGTGAATGGATGCAAGTAAAGATTACATTCATTTATAAGCGTCATATTGTCTCCCTAGTGTAAGAATCTGAAAGAGTTAATAAAATCTGAAAGGTACAATAGATATAGTAAAAGGGAAAGAATCTGCCCAAAAGGAATGAATAATTGGGATGAGGGAAAGGGAAAAAAAGGAAGGGGGGGGGGAACTACGTATGTATACACATAGGATAGCTAAGATGACTGTACTACTAATTTCTATCAGTTTTTTGAAGGTAGCAGTTAATGCATAAGATTTTTATTTTGACCAATTTTATATGCTTATATCTAGTAATCTGAGCAACTACACTGAAGATAACAATGTAGCAACCATTGTTGAATACCTATCATCTTGGGGTTTTTTTGGTGAATTATTTCTAATGTCTTATCTATTATTTTTCTATTCTTTTTAAAATAAAAAAATTTGGCAAACTGTACCTACTCAAAAAATGTAATTTTTAAAATAAAGCATGTGGCAAACTGTATATACTCAAAGCAAAATAAGATTTAGGAACACAGTAGTGCTTATCCTTCACATAGATAATTATTTCTTAGATTTCTGTGTATATTTGGGGAAATGATACATGAACTGCTTTTGAGCTTAAGGTTAGTTTTGTTTATCTTGATAGTCCATCTATCTAGGACAGCTCAATTGAGGCAAAGGCTTTAAAGACAAAAGGGTAATATACACATGAGACAGTTAAATTTTAAAACAATAAAGGTTTTCAATCTTTCCTTTAAAATAGTAAATTTTAAAACATGTATTAGTGCCAAGCAAACGTGACAAAACTACAAGCTACGCATCCTTGCTGGCGGCCTGCATTCACAGTAAGGCAATCAGGTTTTCACACAAAAAGTTATTCGGTAGCATCTATAATTTCAAGGCTTAACCTTCTTGGTGAAGCCATATCTGAAATTCCCAAGTAATCTACTAAGAAGCTTAGCAGCATTTACACATTCTAGGTCATCTGCTGCAGATGCTCCTCTCTTCCAATGGCTCTTTCTGGGCTCCTGTTTTTACCCTCTGAACAAATTTAACCTCCAATGGCAATTTATTGGCCTGTAGAACCCTAGGAAAATGAATACAAATATCTTAACACTACCATTGGCTGGGCAATATATTTCAACTTAGAAAGTGCTTTGCGATTGCACATTAATCCCCTCAGACTGAACAGAGGGTCCAGGAAGAAAGGATTGATCTCCTTTAATGATGAAACCCTGGCACTACAGTTTTATTTTTCACAACACAGTGTTGCTAAGAACCCCACTGTTATTATGAAAATTTCCCTAGCAAAGGAGCTCCATCGCATTACTGGTGCACCAATTCATCATAACGTGCCTCGCTCCTGCTCATCAACAAGTCTGAGTGATGAAAAGATCCAATATTATCCTGACAGTACTTCACGCGCATTCTCAATCACACATTATTACAGCATCCATATTAATTTTCAGTGACACGCGTCCTAGGCCTGTTCAAATTAGGCAAACCAACGAGGGGGAGTTGATGAAATACCAGCATAGCCACAGCTCATTGCATTCCAATTTGCATGCAAATGGTTTATCAGGAAAATTCCATTCCCAGCAACCAGCAAGTGAAAAACAACTGTAATCTACACTTCAGGGCCACCATACAGAGCTTAATGAATCGCAAAGAGAGAAGGAAGTGACAGACCTATGAGAGGATCGATTTCCACTGGCAGCTGGTATGGCTGGTCTTGTACAGCACCTTGATGAGCTGGAATTCACAAAAGATAAAAAAAGAAGCATTATTTTTCATATACTTAACTACACAGACCTGTATAAAGCAAACCTTATGTAGAATTGTTTCTAATCTTCAAATCTCTCATGCAGTTTTGTGAAATTTAAAGAACAAAAATCCAGGTGCTTTTATGTCTAGCTTATTAAACATTTATTTTAGATTAGTGCTGTTCTGAACATGTGCCATTGGCAGTGGCTCCAGTCCTGGGCCATAAGCTATAGCAGATGCTTGACTGGCAGCCTCTGATGCTGCAACAAAACAAAATTAAGTGGTAAAGCGTGCTGAAAACAAAATGTGACAACCATCTGCTGACTGTAGCAAATACTATTTTTTCGTTACTTCTTAAAAAGGCAGTTTTGAATGCTACAGCACAAAGGATCCACAAAAACGTCAGTCTATGATGGAGAAAGGGAAACCTCTAAGTCAGGGAACATTTAATGTTTCATCCATCACTTAAAATCAATCAATTGAAAGTTTGAATAAAAATAAAGAAAGCTATCCGCAGATAAATGTTTTAGTTAAATGCATTTGGCTGAAATATTTCTTAAAGATTGGACTGAGGGCTTTAAAAAAAGTTTTATTAATATTTAATATTTCCATGGTTTCCATTTAAAAATACTCTGAGAAGCAAATGAGTTAGAAAAATCAATCCATACTAAGAATAGTTAGTTCCATTCTCAAAATGGCTTTAAAGATTCAGGAGTACTTATAATTGAAAGGAGGTTCTGCAGGCTATTTCCTGAGAAAGTTAGGATCTTATGCAGAAGGGAAGCACTGCTGGCGAGCTATACATCTTACTGGCAAATCATAAAGGCGAACAGGAAGGGTTTGGAATAATAGCCTTTTCAGCTTCATAGTTCTGATAGTTACATTCTGAGACTTCTCCCAAACTCTTTTCCCTCAGCCATTCACCCTGGTCAATACCTCCCTGTGTAGAATTACAAACATTTACACTACTGCTTCGTTGATATTAGAGCTCTGCACAATGCCATCAGACTTTAGGGAAATCTTTTTATATTTGAGAGCCTGAAAACAAAAAAATGTGGGACATTTCAATCAGCTCATTAGGTTATATAAAAGCTTATTATGTTGTATGTTCCCTAGTTTCAAGGGAAGCCTGAAATGCCAACTTTTCAAGACTGTCCAGAAGATCATCAATACTGATAAATACCTAAATACAATGTTTGTACTAAAAATTTTAGGTCAGTATGTATAAGAAAGTAGCTAAAGCCATAATAATTTTTCTTTTGACTTTTATTCGAAGCTAGTTTGTCTTTGCTGATTCTTTTCCTGTTGGAAAAGAAATCGCAGGACCCTCAATGAGGGAGAGCCGTCAGACCTCTGGCCTCCTGTACAGTGCCACTCACTTCTGGGAGGACCACGTTAGTCTATACTAAAACCATGAGAAATGCCTGCCTCTCCGAGAACCTAGGCCCACAGAACTTTCAAAATCAAATCACCAGAGAAAGAATCTGGAGGAGTTAGTACTCCAATCCCAGTCCTGCCACTGAATGCCTATGTGACTCTGGGTGAGTTATGTACCTTGGGGTGTCAGTTTCCCCATCTATAAAGTAGGCTTGATGGGTTAAATGGGACCATGTGAAATAGCCAATACTTGACCATTGTAATCTAAAAAAAAAAAAAAAAAAGCTATTTCGTATGATTTAACCTAAATATAGAACTTCCATTCTCAAGTTGTTGAGGGGATTAAGTTAGCATATGAGATGATTAAGATGATTCATAGAAATCTAGAAAATACTCTATAAACATTACTGATATTTTATTTACAAGGCTCTTCAAGTGCTTTAAATGACAGCAAAGGAAAATGTGGACTCTTTTTTCTTTTGGCAGAATGCAGGGCCTTATCCATGCTGGGCAAAGCTTACCACGGAGCTCCAACCCAACCCTATGTTACTATTTCTTTTCTAAATCAGGATACGGACTACTCAAGGAAATGAAAGCAGCTGGCTGTGGAAACAACAGACATGCAGGAGGGGAAATTATGTAGTCAGGTGTGGCAGGAGGAGGCTGAGAAGAGAATCAAAGGTGGAGCTCATTGTGGGTAGCTGTCTCACAATAAAAACACTTTTTAAGGACTGGAGACATGGCTCAGTGTAAAGGCCATGAGTTTAAGCCCCAGTATTGCAAAAATGAACAAAAAAATTTAAAAAGTGTAATATAAGCTTGATATTTAGTGAAAAGCTATTAGGGATTTTTATTTTTTGTTTTAAATCAAGGCATACTGACTAGTAAAATCTGCATGAAGTAGGAGAAAAGATGAGATTCACACAGACACCTGAAGTGAGGCTGGGTCTCACAGAATGGATGCTTAACACTGTAATGCTTTTAGATGTAGGTATAGTCAGAACTGGAGATCACGCTGTGGAATGATAACTACCTGTGTGAATCCCCAGGTTACCATTCTCTGTATCTGGCAAGGGCTTGCCATTCTGCAAAGGCAGACCTCAGTCAAGGGCACAGGCGCAGGCGGCGAGGGTTCACTGACAAAGAATCTGCAGAACCGTACAGGTCTCTGGCTCTCACCTACTGGAAAGGTGAGCTTGGGCCAGGAGCTGGGTGCACCCGAACAGGTGCCAGCAGAGATACCCACCTGCAGTCCCTTTACACATACATAGAAAAGTGGACAGGGGGCCAAGAACACCTGAGCACCAAAAATGAAGGCAGTGGGAGCAAACCTTGGCACATGGGCCACGGTGGGCTCCTGGCATCACTGAGTGCTCGCAAGGTTTGCTGTCGCTGTACAGTAGGAAGGGAAGCAAGCTTTTCAGCCAGGGACATGGGCTTGCTTCTCAGGCCCTGATGTCAGGAGCTGTCCTCAATGCTAAGGGTGAAACCTCACCACTCAGGTGTCGGGGGACCCAGCCCTTTGCTCCCTGTCAGGCTAACTCTTCTGGAAATTAAAGGTAGGGACACAGAGGGCAGAATTTAAGCCGAAGAAATTCTCAGTCCTGCCACAACTGTCCCCAAGGAAAAGCGTCAGTGGCAATGGCCCCAGTGTCACACACACTCGGGCACTTGCAGAACTTCAAGGTAACTGCACAGACAGTAAACATGCTACTGCATGTGACAGAATGTAACCACAACCAGCATCTTCTTCGAATAAGGAGTAATCAGAGAAATAAAAAATCACATTTCTTAAATTATAATCTTTAGCCCCCAAATGTAAGTATGCCACTTGCATCCACATTCACTTCTGTAGAACACATTCACTGGAAGAAAAAGAAATAAAAGGATGCAATAACAGAGATATAAAATATCTGCCACCATTTTTACAGCCTTCACTTTCTCTAAAATCTATCCTTTAACCAAATACTAGCATTTCTTCCCACAGCTCTATTTTGACTGGTCAGGAAAATGGCTATATTTTAGTCCTGATACAAACTGCAGATGCTTAGTGATAAGTACCTTACTGAACTTAATTCATATACCAGATTTAAATCTTCTGCATTCAATTTGGGTGAGGTCCTTGTTCCAGAATTTGAACTTCTATAATAATTTCAGGTACCCTAATTTGTAGTGCTTTATACAATCTTAAAATCTATCTTTTAAAGCTTCCTACTTATAAAAATAGATTGGGGGGGCATAATCTCCAGGACTATTTTTTTCTTCTTTTTTAAAAATAATTTTATTAAGAAACAAATAGCAATGAGAAAGTTTCAAAACCAATTAGTACAGTTTCAATAATTAATACATTGCATATTATTGTCTTCTGAGTGGTTATTCAGAGTACAAGATGTAGACATGATAACCTGTCCACAAACACTATTAGAACAAATCTTTCTATTCATTGAATTAAGAGAAAGTAGCTGTCTTAACTATTTTGAATATACAGATACAAAATGGTCCTTTATTTGTATCCTCTTTTATTTTTTTTCTTTGTAAAGCAATTTTTTTTATGTATAGGCAAGCTTTTCTAAAATTGATACAAAAATCCAAAAGACTTGAAATCATTAAAACAATTTTGAAAAGGAAAAAAAAACTTTGGAAGGCTAATATGACATTAATTCCAGAATAATAATTATTAATTAATTAATTTACAATATCTGTTTACTCGTTCAGCTTCTCACATTAGGGAGATAATATGCTTACACATATGAGTCTGATTTATTCATGTCTGAGTATGGACTCTAGTCTATAAAAGTCTCCAGTCTATCCTTTATTGTGGCTGAGTAATAGTCCATCATATAAAAAGACCACATCTTTTTTATCCATTCCTTGTTCGATGGGCATCTGGGTTGTTTCCAAGACTTTCTTTAAAGGACAGTTTTTCTCTTAAATTTTTTTTAAAACTAACAGGCAAAGAAAAGCTAAATCTACAACCCAATACTCATTCCCAATACTTGTGTTTTAATAAAAGGTAGTAAGTCAGGGGGTTGTTTAAAATCTGGATCAGAAAACTTGGGTTCAAACTCTGTGACAGACTGGGCATATATGGTGCTGAATGAAGTACATTCCTCTTGCCCAGTGTCTTAAATGGTTAGAAGAAAAGTGGGGCCCCAGTACTGCAGCACATAAAACCTAGCACTTCTTCAAACGTTTCAGGCTTTTGGTTCTCATGGCCATTTCAGCTGGGCACAGCCATTCTGCACTTTTTTTTTTTTTTTTAAAGTCCTGTTTTATTTTTTTTATTTTTTTTTTTTAAATTTTATTTATTTAGTGTGTGTGTGTGTGTGTGTGTGTGGCCAGCTCAGCCCACCAGGGGGCGGCCCTGGCTGGCATGTGGTGCTGGGGGATTGAACCGTGGTTCCTTTGCTTTGCTAAGTTTGTTCTAACTAGGTGCTTTAGACCACTGAGCCATCTCACCAGCCCCGCCATTCTGCACTTAATGCAAGAACACAAGGTACAACAAGGACACTGCATGTGGGCGGTGTGATGTAACTTCCACAACAAATCCTAGCACATCACGTACGAAAAGGCACCTTTCTGGCAGACTTCAGACAATCCAACGTGCTACAAAAATGAGGGACACCTGAGCAATAGAATGTATATACTATTGACAAATACATGAGTGTCATTATATTAAATATTACATTAGAAAAAATATCTCTAAGGATTTAGACAAACCACTAGATGCAAAGAACATTTTAACATTTGTGTTACATACCTTGGGGGACATCTTTAACCTTCCAAACTATTCAACATTTTGACTCATACTAATGTTTGAAAATTAAAAGTTTAATTATTTAGAAATAATATATCCTAGTGGATACAATGTCTTTCTTCAGTGTTCAGCAAATATTGGGCCTTAGAATGACATTTCTTGACTTACCAGGAAGGTTGTGCCACTTGTTCACAGCAAAGAGCCTATTCGCAGTAACTGTGATCACAGCGGGAGCTGCCAAGCCAGGCTGGGTGTTGGCTGCCACGTGGGTGACCGGGGAGTTGGAAGGGAACTTCAGGACCATGATAACATCCTGCTGGGCTTGGTCTGTGAACATCAAGGGGCTCTGCAGGAGGAGATACTGTTGAGTGGGCAAGAAAGACCCAAATATATGAGGAGAAGACAAAGGAGACAAGGAGGAGGGGGCGCAGGAAAAGAAGAGGAAAATCTTGTTAACACAAGTTGCAAGCTCAAGTACGGTACACAGAAAGGCTTGCAGAAATTGTGACTCTGATATGCTTGTTTTTAAAGCAGAACATATTAATAGAAATACCTAGGAAATCTATACTTTGCCTACCACTGCCATGAAAAACTAAGAGAATTATTTTAGATTTTAAGTAGGATTGCATTAAAACATTCTAGTTGCTATACTATGTCACTAACAGTCTTTCAGTTAAAAAAAAAAAAGAAGAACAAGAATAGGCAATAAGCATAAAAGCAAGCCAAGGGAATTCCCACGGATCATCACAAGTAGTCTTGAGCTAGCACAAAGATCCCAACAACCAAAAAGATACCTAAAACAAGCATAGTTATAAATAGTGGTCAGCACACATATATTATTACAGTCAATAAATAATGTATGAATACAATACAGAAACATACCTAGGGCCAGCCAAATAGCTCAGCGGACTAAAGTGGCTACTTAGGCAGAACCCAGTGGCCAGGGTTCGATCCCTGGTGTGCCGTGCCAGCCTCGCCCCCAAGGCACACTGAGATGGTGACTGAGACTGGGTGTGGTGCTGTATGCCTGTAATCCCAGCATTTGGGACGCTGAAAACAGGTGAATTACTCTGAGTCTGGTCTGTGTAATGAGACCCTATACCCTATAGATCCTGCACTAAATAAATTTTTTAAAAAAAGAAATTTAATTATTAGGGCATTTCAAGGCAAGATTTAATTAAATGTACTTGTAAAAACAATGTATTTATACAGTGTATAAAGTCCTAAACACTGCCTATTGTGCAAATTCTGCTGCTTTCACTGCTAGGCATGAAATAACTACAGGCCCCTCCTTTCACTAAGTAAACAAACTAATGCTCAAGACTTATTCTTTGAAAAGCAGAAAGTAATTGAAAATGTTAAACAAAATACTGTCTTCTCTAATACCTAGCCACAAAATAAATCTTGAAGACTAAGGATTTGGAACATTCCTATAAGTCATATGTCATCATCTGAGATATACACAGCACCACTGATTTAGTGGCTTTATTTATACTTTGTGGTAGTCTGCTATCCCCCAGTAATTGCACTGCACATTTCCAGCAATTCTCTCCGACCATTGTCTCTTTTCTAATAGCTGATTAGTATCATTCAGAATTGAAACGCTTTGATGAAATGCACTGGCTGTTTTCCTACTGCCATATTTCAAAGCACCAGGTAAATGTAACTGTGTGGGCACATATATTTAACACATATTTATTCAGAACTGCTAATAAAAAATTAAATACATTTGCATTTTTATTATCAGTCCTTTTAAAAAAGTTATTAAGAGTACTTAGAAAAACATATTGCACTAAGAATTCCTATTTGCACTCTTTGCATAAAGGTGTAAATAAAGGCAACTAATAAGCTACCCCGACACCCTTCTGAGCAAGTGGCTAAAAGCCAATCAATATTATGAGTTAATCCTCCCTGGATGCTCATTCAATTAAAGGTGTCAGTAATGCCTCATCTGATGTGGCCTCAATTAAATCCAACTATCTGATGGTGTGAAAACACAGGGGGATACAGCAACAGCAGCAAAACCAGACAAATAGGCAGCCTTCGTGTGCCTGCTAATTACTACACCTGGTGTATATTATGGCTCATGCACTTAACGCAGCACGAGGTGGCTTTGATTTCTGTTCTATTCATGTATGTGTGTGCGCGCGTGCACATCTCTGGGCAGTGGGGTGCACTGACAGCCGATGGGGGCCCTCATCTGAAGGTGAGTAAAAACAATAAATGTGCGCTTTTGATTTTTAAGACCCCTTATATCAATCAGTTTCTGAAATACAAAGCACTGCTTTATGTATTTTTAAGGAGTTCTGTGAAATTAGGTAATGATAAAAAAAAGGCATAATAAACAAAATATCCTTTAAGCTAGCTTTAAGAAGTCCTGAGAAAAGGAAATGAACATCACTTCAGAATACAAAGCCTCAGTTTTCAAATAATATTTAGTTAGGTGAATTTATAAATTCTTAAGGAGACCAGAATGTAACATAATTGTAAAGTCTCCCTGAAAGGAAGTTCATAAATATTTCTAGTGTAATAGTTCATACTGTAAATATAATTAGGCTCCAACTGAATAATTGCAATGTTTGTGCCTTAACAAAGAAATATAAAATCCGAGCAATGTCAGCCATGCGGTCAGGACGGGCCACTTCCCACAGGAGGCCGCAGACAGCACTCCCGGCACATGCCTTGCAGTCTCTCACGCAGCTGTCCCTGCTCGCCCCGACCAGAGCTCCTGAGGCAGGGTGCTCACTTGGAGCCCCCCATGGAATCACCTGGGCTAATGAGCAGGAAGGAGGGGCTCCAGCAAGATGCCAGAGCCTTGGGGCTCCGGGCTGTGCCACAGCAGCTGTGGATAAGCCAAGCACCTACCTAGGAACACGGGGATGGGAGAACAACCCTCTCCTAATCCCAGTGCCTCTGCCATCCCCTGGCCAGCACAAGTAGGAAACTGCTAGCTATAACTCACCCATTTTCCCAGAGGAAGAAAGCCCAACGACTCAGGTTTCTTTTGAACTTATTTTTCTTCTATAATCATGTATGTCCAAGATGAAAATCAAATTGACACATCTGAAAGGGGGCTTAGGTATCCCAGTCGGAGGATAATGTCATGAGGAAGGGGGCCTCTCACCCCCAAGTGAGTGTGTACAATCCCACCAGGGGGACAGGAAGCGGATCCACCTCGATAAGCCAATTATCTTTGCCACAACGAAGACTGGGCATGGACTTGGCATGGCCCCCACACCACGGCTGTGCAGTGACCCAGGCAGCCAACTATCGAGCGAAGGAGGGACTTCGATTAGCCAGCACCCACCCAGCCTGAGCCTTGCCCGCTAGCCCTGTGAAAGCCAATTCCCAGCCCCAAGCACCAATCAGCCTTACTGTCGTTATGGCATCATTTCCCACTGTTCCTGCTGAACGTTCATTCTCTGTGTGGTCTTCTGCCCACTAAAGTTACCCTTAATGTTTATTTAAATCTGAACATGCACAAAGAAAGGAAATATGAATATTTAAAAAAACTGTTTGTAGTTTATTATTGTGGTCAGTTCATATTACGAGAGAAGAAAGGGGAAAAACCTTAAAGAATGTGGATGACAAAGAGGGGAAAAGACCAAAAGACACAGAGAAGGTGAGGTGGAAAAAGAAGGGCGAAAAAAAGACTAGAGGAGGATAGGGTTTCATTTCTATCCTTGTCCTCATGGCTGCTGCACTGTTCTGACTACCGTATCTGTCACAATTCTGCCGTCTCTGAGCCACAGCATGGAATTTGAACTTAAATTGTTCATAGTGTTAATACAACCAGATTATACATTTACTCCTCTTAATCTAAAATCATAATGAGCAAGCTGTTTTTTGAAGGACAATTCAAAAAAAAAAACCAAAACAGTATGTATGGTTTTGTATAAAATCATGTTCATTATACACTTCAGTTCATTAAAGTACCATTTTTTTCCTCACTGAACAATTTCTTCCTTGAACTTTCAGGGGCTATGAAGGTAGAAGAGTCACATTAGTTTACAGCTTAATCTCTTTCCTACCCCTGATTCTAGGCTGGCTGCTGATTCGCTGTGACCAACAGAACGTGGCATAAATATGTGAGCTTGAGGAGCCTCACGAGGCCTGCCCATCCTGCCTTTGTTGTCCTGGGTCACCATTCTACCACTGGAGTGCACCACCCAGCTTATGTTCCCCCGGACAGAGCAAAGCTTGGTCACGTGAGCTGTTCTCAGCAGTGTGGGAGCCAAGGTGACAGGATCAGCAGAAATGCCATCAAACTCTCAGAATTGGAGAGATCAAATCATCCATTATCTTAAGCCATTTAGCTTTGATCTGCCAAACCACCATCCTCCTTTGCAGCACCAGGTCTGTAAGTGTAATCAGCAGAGCATAGTACATGCACCTAGAGCCCCAGCAATGTAGGAGGCTGAGGTAGGAGGATCACAAAGTTAAGCCCAGCCTGGGCAACTTAGGGAGCTCCTGCTGCAATGTAAAAAATAAAAAATGGGCTGAGACGTAGCTCAGTGTGAAAGTCTTAACTTCAATCCTCAGTATTAAAAAAATACTGAATTAGGTGATTATTGAATTACTTCCTGTGTATATTTTAGAATTAGTTTTAAGATTCCCAAAATGAAAAAAAATACAAAAAACTGCGAGATATGAAGAACAGAGAATAAATCCAATGGCAAAGCTAATCTAGAAATTCAAAGGACCAAAACAGAAAACATACCAACACATCTCTAGTCCTCTAACCTACAGAGAGGACACTGTACAACAGCAAACAGTCTAGTGCAATCTGAGAGCACGGAGGCAGCGCTCACTTCCTCAGAGACTACAGGAGAGAATGGAAACACGTGGGGCAGCTGTGGACAGCAACAGGCAAACGGGTACTGCACAAGACCAGGCGGGGCGTGCGGGCGTCTCCTGCACAGTGACAGGTTGCCGAGGATCAAGCAGGCGTGGACCAAACAACGAGAATGCGAACAGCACTCACCGCCTGCATGGCCGAGCCTCTGGGAGGATGGGGCTCAATGAGCAGCTGAGATGGAGTCTGTCCAAAACTTCGGATTTGAGCTTCCACACCCTGGAAAAGGAACAGGTAAGTATGAGGGTTAAGAGCTGCTGATTACAGGCAAAAGAACCACAGCTGCACCTGAGAATGTCATCCCTGCTTCTGCTTCTTTCAGGCGAAACCTCCTGTTTTCACAGAGTGGCTGTGCACGTGGCAAGGGCATCAAGGGTGAAGGCGCTCGTTAGATAGACTGTGGAGGCCGCGCCCACAAACGGGAAGCCGTTCTCATCTTGCTCAGTGATAGGAAACAGAACCCACTCTTGCAACCTTTTGGCTTCATCTCCATTTTGTTGCCTTTGGTCTTCCTTCTTGCATCATCCCTGAAGATGAAAAGCTAATCTTTTACTGGCATAGAGAAAAACTATTGCTTCAATGACCTAGGCCCCATTTCATCCTAAAACGCAGGAAGAGGAAAACAGAAACAGTACCTCTGAGAATGGCCAAAGCCATGTTACTTCTGCCGTAGCAAGAGCGTTACTGCCTCTGAATGTGGGGCTGGGTAACAAAGGAAAAGCCCGATGTCCAGTCTAAACGTGAGACCATCTAACCAGGGACCAACTGAACATAAGACACGTGTGTATGTGTCTTTTAGAAAGCTGTGTGCTTGTCCTTTCACAAAGGCCACTTCCCTGTGGCTCCTGCTGTACACTGGCACAGGTCCCCGTGTCCGAACAGCCTCATCCCAGGACACTACTTAGCCAGGCGCTTGACCACCTGCAATGGTTCTGGCTGTGTGTGTCTGTCTGCTCCAACTAAAGGGCAAGATCCACGCAGACAAGGCTCAGTGTGCCTGCCTCACCCTTAGATCTCTAACTTGTAACAAATAAATATTATGGGAAGACAGAGAGAGAGAGAGGAAGGAAGGGAGAAAGAGGAGAGAGAAAAGGAAACAAAGACATCTAAGCTATGTCAATGCTTCCACTGCAGTCCAGTGTTCTCAATTCCCAGACTAACTGAAAGCCCCCAAATTCAGAAGAGAATATATATGCTCATCATGTTTGTTTAACCTTTCAGGAAAGTAGGCAACCAATTTTTATATTCTGTGCAGGTCTTTTACACTCAACTAATAAATCATAAACAGGAAATAAAGCATTTTCCAGTACTATCTTCTTTATGTGATGTGTTACCAACAGTGGCCCTTCATGGGGACCTTGTGATATTTTATTTATTTATTTTTTGTGGAACGGGGGATTGAACTCACACACTTGCGCTTGCCAGGGAAGAGCTTATTCCATTGAGCCATCTCCCCGGCCCAGGACCTTGTGATAAACGAGAGCACTTATTCACATATGCATTCAGGACCACGAACTATGTGCACAGCCCCATCAGGCCTGACTGTGCCTTCTCTTGAAGAAACACTCCTGACACAAGCAGCAGGGTGAATATACCAGGAGGCTAGAGCCACACTTCGGTGCCTCCTGTCCAGCACGTGAAGGCTGCGAGAGCTGTGTGACAGTCGGTGGTGAGGGGCGACAGCACGGGCCGTGGGCAAATCCCCTTCCTGAGTGGGTGGGGAAGTTACGTAACTGAAGTTTCAATGTTCTCTCCTGTAAAATGTGGGTAACTACAGTACCCATTTCATAATGTACTAAGTATTAAATGATATGTATTAAAAACAGATTAGGGTCAGGGAGATAGCTCAGTAGAATAAGCACTTGCCGGACAAGCACAAGGTCCCGAGTTCAATTCCCAGTACCACGAACACACACACACACACACACACACACACACACACACACAGAGATTAGACCCCCACTATGCAGCCAATAAATACTCAAGGCTGCTAATAAGGAGCATTTATTTGGCACTATTTACATGGAACTTTTCTGTCATTTACTATGTTGATGCTTTGCTACATCTGTTTTATAGGTAAAGAATGTGCAGTGAACTTGGGATATCTTAAACTCACATGGTGAGGAAATGGCAGATTCAAACTTTGCACTGCACAGCTGGCCTCTCGAGCCCACACTCCACCTCTAAGCGTGCCTCCTTCCTCACCTGTTTCGTACTGTGCCACTCACTGGAGCTGCGACTGAGTGCAAGAAAGGATGAGCGAGCTTATGAAGTACGACGTGGCCGACATCACATCATTTCAGAGAATGGTGTGTTCAGACAAGTGACGAGGAGACAAGGGCGGTATGAATCGTTAGCGTGAAGACCAGCTCCAGCAACAAGGAAAGGAGCCAAAAAGAGGGAAGGGAGGAGTGGGGCTGCACTCACTCTTAGAGCAGCAGGCAAAATGGGGTGAGACTAATTTCTGATTAAACATCAAGGACAATCTTGAGAAAGAAATTACAAAATGGCATCTGAAGCCACACTGCGATGTTATGATACATGGACCAAGGGACTGGGGTTAGGAATAAGTGCCTTAAGTCTCTGTTCCGGAATAAATGTAACAGCCTGCCCTTTCTTCTGACTGCGGCCTTGTGCGGCCCTTGCCCAGTGCCCAGACACCTTCCCTGAGGAGAGAAAGCATGGTGGCAGAAACCTGTTGTGTCAGCACATGGCCTATGGTGTCGGATGGCTGTTAATCTGACATTACACTTGGGGGCAAGTACCTTAATCTCTATCTCCCATCCATAAGAAACAAAATCATACTACCTCCAATACCTCGCCCATAGAATTATTTGGAAAATTATGCAGCTAATACACATAAAGTGTTTATCACAGTACCTAGTAGCACATACACAGCACTCAATTAAATGCTATTGTTGTTATTACATCTGGGACTCCTTGTGGTCCCCATTCAACACAGCTAAAATAGGGAAGGAAGAAATGCTCCAACTGAAATCTGGGGAACTTTTAAAAACACAGACATAAACACTTTTTTGAATTCAGTGTTTTGGGGCCAAACAGATAGCTCAGTGGATTACAGCACCTGCTTAGGTAGACAGAGGTTAGGGGTTAGATACCGGGGCCTGCTGTGCCAGCTCCACCCCTGGGGCATGCTGAGAGGGTGATTGAGACTGGGCATGGTGGTGCGCACCTGTAATCCCAGTGCTTGGGAGGCTGAAAACAGGAGAATTACTACGAGTCCGATCTATGTAGTGAGACCCTTGTAGACCCTGTCCTAAATGAAATCTGTGTGTGTGTGTGTGTGTGTGTGCGCGCGCGCAGGGTCTCACTACAGCTCAAACTCATAGTGATCCTCCTGCTTTCTGCCTCCCTAGTGCTGAGATTACAGGAGTGCACCACCACCCCTGGACTCCATCGCTGGCTCAGTGCGCCCGGGGGTGGGCCTGGTGCAGCACACGGTACCAGAGATCGAACCCTGGCCCCTTGCTTTGCCTAAGTTAAGTGCTTAGTCCACTGAGCTATCTCGCTGGTCCTAAAAAATCATTTTTATTTAATAATATTGGCATATATTAACCATGCTGAGGAAAAGGCTTTTTCAAGTCACATATATAGTGATCTGATCATCCTATCTCAAAGACAGAAAAATCAAAAGCTAATAGTGTTTTTCTCAAGTTCTCGAGGTATCTGAAAATGCTACAGCATTCTTAGGCCCTTTTCCTAATTTTGAGTGTAAAAATTATGAAAAGACTGTAAGGTGGGGTGGTGAATCTATAACACACAGGTTATTTGTTGTTTTTCTAAAAGAAAACCTTAGTGCTCAGGTTTAATTGCAGGACCGGCACTTGGGGATAAACAGGAAGTGGGTTTTGGGCTGCAGCTGAAGCCTGGTACTAAGGCTTGAAAGTGACAGTCACAATTCAGACCTTCAATTCCAGATTCTTTCCACACTTTGCAAGCTCATCTGTCATTTTGCACGCATCTTAATCGCAGAAGCAGTTACAACGGTTTCTTCACGTTTGTCTGTTTGTGGTGCCAACACTTTGCGCTAGACTTTTCTCTCACCTACTCCTTTATTCTTTGCCTTTTTTGGTGGTACGAGGCTGACAGCCAGGGTGTGCCGTTCTGCTGCACCATACTCCCTGCCCTGGTAACATCTTTCTCACTGATAGATGATCAGTGTGAGTCTCTTCTTTTAATACTCGAATTTTCCTAGCCTTAAATCTATCCTGGAAACTTGCAGTGGCCTTCAGACTTCCCTCTGTTTGAGAGACTTCCAGGCCCACAGCCAGGGGGCGGTCGCTGCTGCTCATCTGTGGGTACCAGGCGCGTGTCTCAGCACAACTAAACGTACATGTCTAACACCTGCCTGGGAGAATGAGTTTTATTCTAGCCTTCCTCAGTGATAGGTCGGATTCCTCTTGGGACTTTTGTCTATGCACAGAATCTAATCCATATGTTAAAATGTTAGCTCTTCCTTTCACATACAACTGGTCACTGAGCCCAATCACTTCTGCTGTTTCTCCCATTTACCACGCCCTTCTGAAGCAAGGCCCCATATAATTTCAAGTACTGAGCACTCTGTCTCTTTGCAGCCTTCCTCTGCACTTGGTTTCTGCCCTCAGTGTGCTCTGCAGAAGGATGCTTCTCAGATTCTTCTTTGTGCAGCATGCTCTACTCAGTCTGGAAGGTTTTATTCTTCGATCCTACTTTTAATCCAAGTGCTCTTTTTCAGGTAAGCTGATTTTTTTTGCACAAATAAAAGCCACTCCTAACATGTTTTCTCCCATGCCACTGCCCCTCTGTCTTAGCCGCTTTCTCATCACTGGGATAGAACACCCAACACCTGCAGCGAAAGGGGGGAGGCTCACTTTGGCAGTCAGCCTCAGTCCACAGTTGGCTGGCTGCGAGGCAGGAGGGCTTGGCGGGAGGGCCTGCATGGAAGAAAGCTGCTGGCACCATTGCAGCCAGGAGGCAGACAGACAGGCAGGCTGGGCAGGGACATGCAGACCACAATACCCTCCTAGCACGGGTGCCCTCCTCTTCAGCTTTCACGGTTCCAACCCTCTCCAGAAAAACTCTCTTGGGTTACACTGCTAAGTTTAATATTTTCCAAATCTTGCTGCATGATCCTACCAGTGACTACTGTGCACACCTGACTCGGGTCTCCTGGGGATGTTAACCTTTGTTGGCTTATGCAGGGTCTGTATAAGTGTAGG